TACAACGTCCGAATGTGCTACACTTGCAACAATTTCAACTTTATCCGAAACATTTTTCGCTGTGCACGATAATATCGACGTAAACCGAGGTAACATCTGGTGGATCGCCCTGTATAAAGAAAAAAAAAAAAAAAAAAAAAAAAATGTCAAGCTCGATACTGAATTGCAACGACCTTATTTTTCGACCTGGCACCACGGTTATGTTCTTTCAAGATCAGTCCAGACACGCGTCAAAATAAACCTCGTAACGAAACAGCGAGCTCAGTTTCGTACATCGCATGCAGAATAGAGATCGCGAACAGTTTTCTTTTTTTATTCGTCGACCATAGCCGAACGAACAGGTTCATCCGCTCCTTGCGTGAATCGCCAAGGGACAGGATAGACGTTATTATTCGTAAATCGTGTTACGTGCCATAAATCACTAGTTAATACGAACTTGTGACGTACGAGGCTCAACACGCCACGCGCAGATCGCTTTAATAGACTTTCGAGTGTGTGAAAGCGAATCGAGAAGCAAAACGAGTGAAAGACACGGCGTTTCGCGAGAGAAAAGTATGGCCGCGATGAAATTTTTTCCAGCGTACAGTGTGGATCCTGCGGAAATAAAAATATCTTCGTCGTTATTAGGTTGGTGAAAAAATATATATATATAATGGATTTCTATGGTAAAATTAGTTCCAGTGAAAGTGTGAATTTGATTCGTGGATGCAGCTTGGCGAGTTTTTCATAAATTACCATTCGAAGACAAGACACGCTAATTAATATGAAAATCTTTGGAAAAGATTCGCGTTAGACTTTAAAGATGACTTGATATAAAAAATGACAATCTCGTTAAGTAAATTGCTCGCAATTGATACTGAATTGGTAAGTTTTCGTTTATCGTTATTTTTTTATATGTACCAAATGAATTGGTCTTCATCGGTTTGATTACGAAACACTTTCGTGTTTTCTCAACGATAATGAATATCCGTAAACATCCTATTCCATAACACTGTTCTGTACATTGGCAAGCGTGGAAAGGAAAAAGAAACGTCCCTGTTTTTAAATCTTGATAACGAGTTAGGGAATTGCCGATATCGTAAAATACTGCCAATAAATTAATTTCGTATACTTTCAAGGAGCGACAATGTTAAAGGATTAATGGTCCCGACGGTGCCGATGGTTCGTCGTTTGCACTCATGAATAAAGAAACATCTCGACGGTACTCCACCCATAAAATACACATGGTTATTTTAAATTCGTTCTCCCGCACAGGTCGCGTGTTAAAACACGTGTTCGTGTGCATGCCTGGCTTCGCTCGATACTACACGATTCTTCTCTTTCGCGTTTGCAACGTCGAATCACTCGAACCCAAGGATGAAACTGCAAACTCTATACACGCCAACGAGAATCACTTCGGAATGCGGTGGAATTCGCGAAAAATTGTATTTCGTTCAACTGATCAAATATTGAGAGAGAGAGAGAGAGAGAGAGAGAGAGAGAGAGAGAGAGAGAGAGA